CCGGTAGGGGACTAAAAAAATAAAAAAATAAAGAAAAAAACACAACCTCAAAACACACACCAAAAACACGTGTTTATGATGTTAGCAATAAAATGGACTTCTCCCTTATTAAGGGAGATCATAATCAGGTTTTCTTCTGTTGCCACGGTGTAATCGGTAAAGTGGTCTTACGCTGAATTCGGAAGGTATGGATTCGGGACACGATTGCGTATTGTACTAATAGATTATCCTTTAGAATTGTTTACTGTGTATGAAATGTTTCAAGGTCCACCTCGGACTCCTGTCATTCATTTCCAAAGAGTTGATACTGTGAGAAACACTGGTTTCGTTTAATTCCCTCCGCTATAATTGAAATACTGTTGAAAGCGGCGTTAAACCCAATATTTAAAAAATAAGAAGATATAAAACATAAAATGCATAGTTCATTTCATAGGCTCTACATAGCACTGCATTATGTGCAGATAAAAAAACGAGCTTCTCCTACAACCATAATCACACAAATTGAGAATCCTACATAATCGCCTTCAATACAAGGGAATCTGTATTTAATATGCACAATTCTCCGCTTCTGGACATACAAAATAAATCAACGGATCTTTCGCCTCTAATCGAGAAATGATCACGGCTTCAGGTCGCCTCAAAGATGCTATAGTAAACGCATTCCGCGAGTCCGCTGTTTAAAATAAATTAGAATATCTGTAATTATGTGAAATACGTGAGAAATTAAAGCCATAGCATGAGAGCGTGATTCCTGCTTTAAATCTGAGTCTCACGCTTAGTGCAGGGTATTTAGCTGCGAGAGAAAATAGAATAACCGATGGCTGTTAATAAAAAAATTTTTATACATATAGAAAACTTTGAATTAAATGTCTGCTAGATTTTATAATATAATTAAGACTACAAGTGAATCATGACTTACGTACAAATCGTTGCTACTTCCAGTTGATCATATATTTTTGAAACGTAAATTTGATTCATTTCCTACCAGAGACATAGATGTTATCTATGTCTCTGTTCCTACTAACTGATATATAGAATTCAAAATTGTTACATAGAGAATAACATGCTACTGTCTTTTGATATCAATTTTATCAGGCGAGGCTGATATGGGCTAGAAAGGGCGAGGCTTGCCGAGCCCTTTCTGCCCATATCAGTCAAGCCTGATAAAATTGATATCAAAAGACAGTAGCATGTTTTTCTATTTATCATGTTACACATAAAAACTGCCAAAATTACAAAATACTCTACTTTTAAATAGCGAATTTCGTAGAAAGGGGCATTTTTGTCCAAAGAAATAATTCTTGAAAAACAAATTCCTGCGCCCCTGAAACTTAGAATTTGTAAATGGCGGCCATGTTTTCTTTCGACTCGAGATTGTTTCCTGCAATTAAAGATACAACAGAATGTAACACGATAAAATTCTTACCTTTGAACATCGATCCAAAATATCCCTAAGAATCACATAAACTTTACTGCACTTTGTGTCGTGAATTGTCAAATTCAAAAGTTCACGATAATTTCAATCAAACAAAAGTCAAATCGGCAATCAAACACAAGCTACACAAACATGCCTCTTATTTTTTAAACGAAACAATTTGTTCACTTATTAAATAATAATCCGGCGCAATAAAGTAAACATTTACAAATACAAGTTCTCAAAGAAAATCGTCTAGCCTGTTTGTTTCTGTATAGTATGACGTAAACATCGATGATGTCATTTGCAATATAAATTATGACGTCACTTTATTGACTTGGTGCTTAACTATTCGCTATCTAATTCATTCGTAATTGAAATCGAATTAATAAATAAATAAATATCGCATATTGAATCAGGACTTGTAGGAGTATGAGATTACATTGTATAATTCACACGCTGATGAAAATGAGAATATAAGCAATTGAAAAAAAGTCCGTTAAAATGGGCGGGGCTTATTTTTGATATCAGGTTACTGACCTGATATCAAAAATAATTATCAGGCAAGTGTTATCGGGCAGTTACAATAGCAGTTGCATGATAAATATGATAACATGGAAGTTTATGTTGTACCGACATACACATAACATGATTACATTGCGACTGCACCAGCCTTTTCATTCTTTTTTTCTGACATTCTTTGCAAAATTTATGTTTTTATAATTTCCACTTAGGTGGCCTTTTAATTATATCTTTCAATATTCTGAATTGTCTTTCAGTCCTCGAGGTATTTATATCCATTCGTTGCAGTTTTTCAGAGATTGATACCAACTTTTGCAGACAGTTATACCCTAATTTATGGTACATGCATATAATTGAAGATATTCATCGAAAAGCAGGCATCTGACAGGACTTTTAAAAAAACATTTTTACGGAACATGTCTAAAAACTATTGTTGTTGATGGTTTTCACACATTTTTATTCCTGTCAGTATGATATTTATCGAAAAAGTCGTGAAAATTTCCTTTAGAAAAATATTTGACGTCACCAAAATCATTACGTTTTACTTACCCTTTATTTTAAATTCAAATTGTAATAGCAAAATATCTTACGCGTTGACCCTATATTTTTATTGCATAAATATTTTCTTTTATGACTTCACTACATGTTAAGAAAATTATAGCAAAATTCACCGTGTTGTTTTTTTATTATTTCACAATTTTTATTGCGACATCGCGCGATATTTGCAACAAATATGGACGTCAGAACGTGAGGGAAAATAACGTAGAATCGCAGAGTATTAAGCAAATGTTCAAGAAAGGCATCGTTACAAAGACATACATTTACTGAACATTATAAAATTAAAATGAAGGAAATCGGATGAAAATTGATAAGAACAGACCGGTTTATTGATAAAAAAGACGCAATTTCGCCGCCACCGATAGAGGGCGTTTTGACGTCATAGTAACGCTGTTTATTTATAAAATAATGCTGCAGAAGTAAAGCTTACATATCTACATGTCTGTATACCAAAAATCATCAAGATCTGAGATATTGTCAAATTTGGGTCGGAAAGTAGCGAGCTACCTTAATAAAAAGTTATAGATGTCTTAAGATCTTTTGAACTAATGAGATGAATGAACATATACCTGTACAACGGAGAAATGGTTTTAAACAACAATTATAGAACACGTTTTTAGACCAAATAACCATTCTCCCAGATGAGCCCTGCACCATTTGGAAAATTCAAGTGGTGAAACAGTCCAATTGCCTGTAAAATTAGGTGGTCCTTTCCAAAATCAGGCGGTCTCGGACCAATGGACCACCGCTAATGTCGAGCCTGGTACCTATAGATGATATCATTTAACAAATATTAAAGCTCTAAGCCTTGTACCTAAAACAATAAGATTTTTTGATTTTTTACTATATGTATATATTGAAAATCAATGACCCCCAGGGGGCAATTTTGACCCCAGGGCTATAATTTAAACAATCTTGTTAGAGGTTCACTACACAATGTTTCATGCAAAATATCTTACCTCTAGCATTTGTCAATTGCAAGAAGAATTTTTTTTAAAGTTTTTACTATAAGTTTTTACTATATACATATAAGGAAAACCAATGACCCCCGGGGCGGGGCCGATTTTGACCCCAGGGCTATAATTTGAACAATCTGGGTAGAGGTCTACCAGACAATGCCTTATGCAAAATATCTAAGCTCTAGGCCTTTTGGGTCTTTACAAGAAGGTATTTTAAGTTTTTACTATATGTACATATAGTGAAAATCAATGACCCTCAGGCGGGGCCGATTTTGACCCCAGGGCTATAATTTGAACAATCTTGGTAAGGGTCTACCAGACAATGCCTAATGTAAAATATCTAAGCTCTAGGCCTTTTGGGTCTTTACAAGAAGGTATTTTAAGTTTTTACTATATGTACATATAGTGAAAATCAATGACCCCCGGTGCGGGGCTGATTTTGCCCCAGGGCTATAATTTGAACAATCTTGGTAAGGTCAACCAGACAATGCCTTGTGCAAAATATCTAAGCTCTAGGCCTTTTGGGTCTTTACAAGAAGATATTTTAAGTTTTTACTATATGTACATATAGTGAAAATCAATGACCTTGGGCGGGGCCGATTTTGACCCCAGGGCTATAATTTGAACAATCTTGGTAAGGGTCTACCAGACAATGCCTAATGTAAAATATCTAAGCTCTAGGCCTTTTGGGTCTTTACAAGAAGATTTTTTAAATTTATTCTTATAATTCCTTTTGGTTGCCATGACAACCAGATTTCTGCATGGAATGAAATTCTTTGAACAACTTTGGAAGCCCTTCACCCAAGGATCAATCCTGCCAAGTTTGGTTGAAATTGGACTAGTGGTTTGTTTTTCACAAGAAGATTTTTTAAGTTCACTATATAATCTATATAACACACACACACACACACAAACAAACAAACGCACACACACAGGTGAATCGCTATATGCCACCGCATCGCAGATGCTGCGGTGGCATAAAAATCATCTCCGGGACGCCTTTGGGACAGATATCTAATTTCCGGGACATTCAAGGAAGTCCGGGACATTTGAGCAATCTTGGCAGAGGTTCACCAAACAATGTCTTATGCAAAATATCTATGCTTCAGGCTTTGTGATTCTTCACAAGATTTTTGTTTCATTATTTTCTTATTATTCCTTTTGGTTGCCATGGCAACCAGATATCTGCATGGCATCGATTCTTTGAACAGGTTTGGCAGCCCTTCACCTAAGGAACAATCCTGGGAAGATTGGGTGAAATTTGACTCGTGGTTTTTAGCAAAAAACTTTTTTCAAGTTAACTATATAATCACACACACACAAGTGAATTGCTATATGCGACAGCATCGCAGATCTGGTGGCATATAGATCAAAATGATGTGCATAATCTCTCTATCCACACTAAGTATCATCAACCTAGCTTTAATACTTTTTTATTAATGACAGTATCCAGATTTCTTTGAGTTAACAAAATTACATATGAATTGAAAGTATATAGTCTCCTCCTGTGAAAACATTAAAGGATTAATAAATTCAAAGCAACATACCTGCCACATAATTTACACGGAAACATTTCCTCCTGCTGCTCAGTTTGCACAGGTGAACGTGTTGGTGAGGGTTTTCTCTCATACCTTGAAAGCTGTGCTGACAGTGGTTTGGTTACTTTGACATGGATCTTTACATGAGCTGTAAGAGCCCCTTTTGTTGAGAAACTCTAAAAATATGTAAAGAACTCTATCTTGTATTCTTTATATAGATCAGTATTAAACAGAAATATTTCATAAACAAGACCTGTCTTTTGAAACACACAAATACCCCTCAAGCAGGTCCCAGTAGAGTATCCATGACCGTTGACTAACAAACTGGAGCAATATATGTCCGAATGCAAATTTATTTTAAGTAATAACAAGAGTGTCACAGAAAGTGACAAATGCCCCCGAAGGATTCTCGTTATAAACCACCTATTACATGCTAGTGTGGGGGTAAAAATTGACAAAATTCGAACTCCAGCAGTGACCTTTAAGTTAGACAAAGAAACCTGGGTCTTGTTCACAACACATTGTCCATCTATGGTGACTTTATATTTAAAAAATAAAAATTGAAACTTTCATGTATATGGAAGTTACAGAGCGGACACAACAACCACCATTTATATGTATATAACATAAATATTGAAAAAGTTTAAATCCGCACAGTGACCTTGAACTAAGGCGTAAAAACATGGGTCTTAAGAGCAACACATCATACATATATGATAATTTTATATGTGAAATAAAAAAATTAAATCCTTTCATGCATATTGGTTTCAGAGCAGACAAGACCATCTCTGCCTATATGTATATAAACATTAAAATTGACAGTTTGAACCCCCACAGTGACCTTGACACACCGTACATCTATGGTTATTTTATATATAGAATCCTTTCATACCGAAGTTTCAGAGCTGACACGACCACCACCATCTATATCTATATAACATGTTTGAACCTCCACAGTGGCCTTGACCTTAGTTGTAGAAACCCGAGTCTTGTTTGTGGCACACATTATATCTATGGTTATTTAATATGTGAAAGAAAAGTTAAAATCCTTTCATGCATACTGAAGTTTCAGGACCACCACCTTCTATATTTATATAACATAAAAAATGACAAAGTTTGAACCCCCACACTGACCTTGACCTTAGTTGTAGAAACCCCAAGTCTTGTTTGCAACATACCATACATCTATGGTTATTTTATATATGAAAGAAAAATTAGAATCCTTTCATGCATACTGAAGTTTCAGAGCAGACACGACCACCACTGTCTATATGTATAAAGTGGGACAGACTGACTGACGAACGGATGGTTCGATTTTAATATGCCACCCTTCGGGGGCATAAAAATGGGTCAAAGACAGACAAGAAATGAGTCGTCACGCCACGGATGCCCCCGCATGCAGCCAAAATTTCATATGTTATAATATTTAGTTCCAAAATTGTTTGCACAAATTATTTTTTTCATTTCAAGTTCAAAGCCCTTAAAACTATTCAATGTTAACACAAACCATTTTTATACAAAGTTCAAGGCACTGAAACTATTCAGTGTTAACCTTTTGTAAATTGCATATTGCATATTTGTAGCAAAAAATAGTGGCTACATACATTTCCACAAAAGTATGAGTGCTGAAACTGAAAATTCAAATTTTTTTCCAACATTCAAGAGAGATAACTTTGTCCAAAATAATTAAACCATGACCAAATTCAAACTTTAACTGCTTATTCCTAAGATGTATCTATATGTCAAATTTGAGTTGAATGTGTACAACCATTGGGGAGATAATGAACTGAAACTTAATATTTCTATATCTTTTTTCAAAGTTCAAGAGGGATAACTCTGTCAGCTATCATCAAATCATGACCAAATTCGAAATTGACCAATGCATTCTTATGACATACCCATATCTTTAATTTGAGGTGAATATATACAACTGTTGGGGAGATAATGAAAGGGAACTGAAAATTTCCTTTTTTTTTCAAAGTTAAAGGGGCATAACTCTGCCAAAAATCATCGAACCATGACAAAATTCGAACTTGACCTGCGCATTTCTTTGACATATCCATGTCAAATTTGAGCTGAATGTGTAATACCCAAGAGGAGATAATGAACAGAAACTGAAAATTTCATATTATTTTCAAAGTGAAAGGGACATAACTCTGACAAAAATCATTGAACCATGACCAAGTTCTAACTTGACCTGGGCATTCCTTTCACATATCCATATGTCAAATTTGAGGTGAATGTGTAATACTGTTGGGGAGATAATGAACTTAAACTGAAAATTTCATATTATTTTCAAAGTGAAAGGGGCATAACTCTGCCAAAAATCATTGAACCATGACCAAATTCGAACTTGAGCTGCACATTCCTTTGCGTATCCATATGTCAAGTTTGAGTTGAATGCGAAATACCATTGGGGAGATAATGATTGGTAACTGTAAATTTCATATTATTTTCAAAGTGAAAGGGGCATTACTCTGCCAAAAATCATTGAACCATGACCAAATTCGAAATTGTCCTGTATTTTCTCATGACCTATCCATATGTCAAGTTTGAGATGAATATGTAATACCTTTATTTATCACATAAACCGCGGCGCAGGAGTGTAATAAAGCCATTTAATAAAAACGGTATTACACTAGACGATATTACACTAGTGTAATAACACTTTGACGTCACGTCATTTGCGCTATAAACATAGCGTTTAAAGCGCGCTAATGTTAGCGTTACACTATAGGCGCATCAATGAAAAATGACTCTTGATAAAAGTTTACCGTTCTTATATAAAATATGTGATAAATAGAATATTATATTCGTGTAGATTCAATACTAAATTTATTGAACTCGTTGAATAAAACAATATTATTTATTACCAGAGGCTCGCATAATATGATTTTATTCAACTCGTTCAACAAATTTAGTATTAAACCTACACTCATTCAATATCCTCTATGTTGATAATGAGCGTAAACTGAAAATTTCATATTATTTCCAAAGTAAAAGGGGCATAACTCTGCCAAAAATTATCAAACCATGACCAAATTCAAACTTGACCTGTATTTTCTCATGAAATATCCATATTTCAAGTTTGAGTTGAATGTGTAATACTGTTCGGGAGATAATGAGTGGAAACTGAAAATTTTATATTATTTTCAAAGTAAAAGGGGCATAACTCTGCCAAAAATCATCGAACCATGACCAAATTCAAACTTGACCTGTATTTTCTCATGAAATATCCATATTTCAAGTTTGAGTTGAATGTGTTATACCGTTCGGGAGATAATGAGCGGAAACTGAAAATTTCATATTATTTTCAAAGTAAAAGGGGCATAACTCTGCCAAAAATCATCAAACCATAACCAAATTTAAACTTGAGCTGTATTTTCTCATGACATATCCATATGTCAAATTTGATTTGAATGCGTGCAACCGTTACTAAGATAATTAACGTAAACTGATGATGATGGAATGACATAATGACTGAAGGACGGCATGACGGAACAGGGTAACACTTTATGCCCCAGCCATTATATGGTGGAGGCATAAAAAAGTGCTTTATCTTCCTGTCTTAACTCGAAATTGAACATGATCATTAAAATGAATTTGTAATAATCTAAGAGAATTATATGAAATATGACTTACAGAATTACAATCTTGGTAATCACAAGTAAATGATAATGGTGAAGCAGTGCGAGCTGGACTTGGAATTCTCACAGGTAATTCCAGACTCTCTTCCGTCTCAAGATCTTTTACCTATATAAACATATGATATCATATTATACCTTGTAATACAAGGTGCAAGGGTCTTTAATATTGCCAACATCTCATTTTTCTTTGGCAATATGACCCAATATATCCTGCCTGTAACTTTTCCCATAGTTTATTCCAACTGCAGCCTGTATAATTAATGTTAAAATAAAAATTAAATTATATTTTCAAATTGTGCACCTTTAAGCCAGTCTTAAGTTATTTTCATGAATATTCAAACATATACCTCTTGCTTGAATATTGATTCTTTAATAACTAAAAATTACAGTTTACATCATTTTAAAAATGTATAGTATTTAATTAAAAGTACTATACAACGGACCTTAAAGCACTCACCTGAGGACAGAATGGTATTAAATACCCTAAAGTTATGACTTGGGGAAGGTTTTAATGATCATAACCTTAGTGATCTTAACCTTTGACCCACTGACCCTAAAGAAAACTAACTGTTGGCCCATGGTCTTTAAAACAAGAAGATTTTTTAACTGTTTGCTATGTACATAAAGGGATAAACTATGACCACCCAAGAGCTATGACCCTGAACAATAACTTAGTAGAGACAATGCTAAAAGACAGACGGAAAGATGGATATACTATGATTTGGACACTTAGGTCGCTACTCTAATATTCTCCCCCATTGGTCCTTATGTTTTCTCTTTTGTGGCAAAAGAGAAAACATAGCCACCTAAGAGATTACAGAATGAATGACATCCAAGAAAATCATTCCTGTATCCACTTAAGTACCCAAAATGTATGCATGGACAGACAGAAGGAGAGACAAGGCTGTGACTATATGCTCTCCCTTCGGGAAGCGTAGAAATTAAGATATCAACATCATTAAAGTAATCTTTGTCTTGTGAAAATGGTCACATAAATGATTACCTTACGTCAGGAAACTATACAATATCTCGACATACACACCACTGGATAGTCTATATGACTATATCTGTTGTTTAAAGAAATTGTGGATAACAACAAACATTATGTTATCATACAAAATCACCTTCAAGCATGCTTAGGTGGGCAAAATATAAAACAAATTGATTTTATCCTTACATTTTGGTCATCAAAGGTTCCACAAAATGTACTGGCTTCAGACAGTGAGTCTTCATCTCCTGTTAATTCTCTTGTATCACCATCATCACCAGTCTGGCCCTCTTCAACTTGCTTATTTTCATCATTGCCTACGTCCTGGGTATCTATACCCTGTTGCTGCCTTGTAGAACGTAGGTTATAGTCTTGCTCTCTGCGTCGTCGTATTGCTCTCAGTCGCTTGTGATCATCAACAAGCACTTTCTTCCAGAGATAGTAAAACTGAACACATTGTCGTACTGATTTCGTCTTTACCTTTTTAGTAAAATAAATTGTCTTGAGATCAACCTCCTTACTATTTTGATAAATATTCATACTAACTATTTTTTTCTTCAGCACATTTAATTACAGAGGATGATTGCAAACATACAAAAACATCTCTTGCCATGACATGCAACTTTGATAGTAAGTGGAAGTTAAAGAAATTTTGGATAACTAATAAAAGGAAAACTAGAAATGTGTCCATAGGGCACAGGTGCCCTCGCACTCCACTGTTTTGTCAATCTTATGGCACTAGGTCAAATATTTTTTTGGGCTACAGGTGCAACAAGTTGATAACTAAAAATCTTGTACTAGAAAAGGACAAGAACTTTACATCCACCAGCGAACCCCAAGGTGCATAAGTACACATGCTGACCAACATTCTTGTAAACTTTCAGGCGTACAGGTCAAATACTTTTTGAGCTATGAATGAACAAGTTGAAAATTGCAAATTTATACTAAGTCAAGGGCAATGACTCTAACAAAACTGAAAAAAAATCCACATGCTAAATCCCAGGTTCAAAGCTTCACAGTGATGTTGAATATTAATCTTGGTTGATTCTAAGTCAAGCACTCAAAGAACAAATAACACAACATAATGAATCCGTTTTTACTAAGTCAATGGCAATAACTTTACAAATACTGGGTAAATCCACAAGCAAAACCCAAGGTGCACAACTTCACATGCTGACCAACATTCTTGTTAAGTTTCATGACTAGGTTAAGTACATTTTGAGCTACGCACCACACAAATTGAAAATTACAAATTTATACTAAGTGAAGGGCTATAACTCTGCAAACACTAAATAAATCCACACGAAAATATCCAGATGCACAACTAAACATGCTGATGAACATTCCTGTAAAGTTTCATGACCCTAGGTTAAACACTTTTTGAGCTATATGCGACACAAGTTGAAAATTGCAAATTTTTCCTAAGTCAAGGGCAATAACTCTTACAAAACATAATTAATCCACAAGCGAAACGCCAGGTGCACAACGACACATATTGATCAATATTCCTGTAAAGTTTCATTACTCTAGGTCAAATACTTTTTGAGTTACATGCGACACAAGTTGCAATTTGCAAATTTTTACTAAGTCAAGGGCAATAACTCTAAAAATACTAAATAAATCCACACGAAAATACACAGAAGCACAACTACACATGCTGATCAACATTCCTGTTAAGTTTCAGGACTCTAGATCAAATACTTTTTGAGCAACGTGCCACACAAAAGAAAACTTAAGGAAGGACTTACATATGGACGGACGGACAAGGGTAAATCTAAATGCCTCCCCACCTACCAAGTGGGGGCAAAATAACTCTTAAAACACTTAAAAAATCCAAACGAAAATACCCAGGTGCACAACTACACATACTGATTAACATTCCTGTAAAGTTTCATTACTCTAGGTCAAATACTTTTTGAGTTCATGCGACACAAGTTGCAAAATTGCAAATTTTTACTAAGTCAAGGGCAATAACTCTAAAAATACTAAATAAATCCACACAAAAATAACCAGGTGCACAACTACACATGCTGATTAACATTCCTGTAAAGTTTCATGACTCTAGGTCAAATACTTTTTGAGCTATGGGCGACACAAAAGAGAACGGACGGACGGACGGATGGACAAGGGTTAATCTAAAATTTTAATGTGGCGGCAAAAATACCCACAAAAGCTCACCACTGAAAGCTATTTTAGTTCCAGAAACTGTTATGTGTTATCTAATTGAGGTATTAAATATCATTTTCAAAAAAACTAAATAATAATTTTGATATACAGTGCACTCGGGATACAACGAGATCGTCGGGACTTCGGATGATTCCTTGTTATAACCGGGTCTCGTTATAACCGGGACAATTCAAATTGAGAAATCCTACACCGTCGAGCATCATTTATTTCTACTTTTGCGTGCATCCTTTTTGAAAAGTATATAATGGGAGGTAACTCTTTGCAATCAGACATTTTGTTTTATTTAAATATACATGTATATAAATATATCTAGCTATCATAGAATTTAAACAAAACATGAAAACACAACCTACGTTTAACCGCGTGTGTTTCTTCATTAAATATGAACATTTTAAAATTCGTTTTTAAAAGTCACGCAGTGCATTTTTCACGAACACCGAATAACATCGCAAGAAATTAGCCTCTCCCTTTGTGCTAATCACTCAATGATGACATTTCGTCACCTTAAGGAGCGCTGACAAAACAAGGCTGACACATTTGATCGCTAATTGCTCGACCCATATCCCGCGTCAATAATTTCTTCCTTAGTTGACCTTTATCATTGGTCATCATTGTTTTTCTCAAGGTGACAAACTGATGCAGACGAAGTGCAAATGAAGTGACCTCGTTAAAATTCTGAAAAATACGCATGGGACGGCGAAATTATGTATGTTGTAACCAATATCTCGCTAAAACCGATCTCATAAACGATAAACAAAAGGGCCATGATGGCTCTGAAGTCGCTCACCTGTATATAGGCCCACAGAGCAAGGCCAGTTTAAACCCCAGGGCTTTTGTTTGAACAAAATTGGTAGACATCCATTAGAAGATGTTTCATGCTAAACATCTAAGGTCTAGCTCGTTGAGTTTTTAAAAAAAAAGATTTTTTAAGTTTTTACTATACACATATAGTTAAAAGCAACGGCATCCCTAGGGCGGGGCCAGTTTTGACCCCAGGGCTTTTATTTGAACAAACTTTGAAGACACTAGAAGGTGTTTCATGCCTAATATCTAAACTCTAGCTATTTGTTTTTATTCAAAGAAGATTTTTAAGTTTTTGCTATACACATATAAGGAAAATTAATGTCCCCCGGGGCAGGGCCAATTTTGACCCTAGGGCTTTTATTTGAACACATTTTGAAGACACTAACTGGAAGATGTTTTATGCTTAATATGTAAACTCTAGCTATTTGGGTTTTTTCAAAGATGATTTTTTTAAAAAGCTTTTGCAATACACATATAAAGAAAATCAATGACCCCCGGGACAGGGCCAATTTTAACCCCAGGGCTCTTATTTGAACAAATTTGGTAAACACCCATTAGAACATCTTTCATGCTAAGTATCTTAGCTCTAGCTCTTTGGGTTCTCTAAAAGAAGTTTTTTAAGTTTTTACTATATGCATATAGGAAAAATCAATGACCCCCTGGGGCGGGGCCAATTTTGACCCCAGGGCTTTTATTTGAACAAACTTGATAGACACTCATTAGAAGATGTTTCATGCTAAATATCTTAGCTCTAGCTCTATGGGTTCTTTAAAAGAAGATTTTTTAAGTTTTTACTTTATGCATATAGGGAAAAATCAATGACCCCCTGGGGCGGGGCCAATTTTGACCCCAGGGCTTTTATTTGAACAAACTTGGTAGACACCCATTAGAAGATGTTTCATGCTAAAAATCTTAGCTCTAGCTCTTTAGGTTCTTTAAAAGAAGATATTTTAAGTTTTTACTATATGCATATAGGGAAAATCAATGACCCCCTGGGGCGGGGCCAATTTTGACCCCAGGGCTTTTATTTGAACAAATTTGATAGACACTCACTAGAAGATGTTTCATGCCAAATATCTAAGCTCTACCTCTTTGGGTTTTTTAAAAGAAGATATTTTAAGTTTTTTCTATCGGTTGCCATGGCAACCAGAGTTCTGCATGGAATTAAATTCTTTGAACAATTTTTAAAGGTGACCACCAAAGGAACATTCCTGTGAAGTTTGGATGAAATTGGCTTAGTGGTTTATGAGGAGATGTCATTTAAAGTAAAAGTTTACGGACGGACGACCGACGGACGGACGACGGACAGACGGAGGCCGGACGAAAAGCGATCACAAAAGCTCACCCTGTCACTTTGTGACAGGTGAGCTAAAAAGTACTCTTTTGCAATGTCACTTACATCAATGGACACACGGAAGAAATCTTTATCATAAGTTAATATTGCTCTTGTGTATCTATCAATCTCTTCTGCTGTCCAAACATCAGATTCTGTAACATTGTATTCATTAAATTGTCAAACATTCAAATACACCAATTTCAAAATATTATAGGAATAATGGCTAAATTGTTTACATTTACTATGTAAATTTGAGAAAAGAAAGCAAAGTCAAAAAGAATAAAACTTAGCCTGAACCTATAGCAATACAAAGATAAAATGCTGAAACTAAAAGGGACCTATTATGAAGGTAAGCTTTGGTATTATACTAAATTTTCTTGAGCACAGATTCATAATGACAATGAATGTTTCCTTTCAATAATTTAATACTGCTACTGATTACTTCAAATGTTTGTCAGTTTGAAAACTGGGCAAATACATGTGTATAATGTGTAAACAAAACCTACCCTGATATTTGTAGGTAATAACACTGTGACTTGTTGGTAGCTTTATAGACCCTGACATTAACATAAGCATTGCTTTCTAAAAAAGAAAACGAAAAGTTGCATATTTCATTTATATTGCTATTACTTGGAACCATTTGGTAGAATAACAGCTACATGTATATCCTCATTATTAATTAGAGTATTCAAAATATCTCTTTCAGGTGATAAAAATTTGTACATGTAGTATAATCTCTGCAAAGCAACTTTCTGTAAAGCAATAACCACTTTCCAACAACAGGGAAAGAAAATTTTTTTTTGGTTTTTACTATAAGGTTAATATTTGAACAAACTTGGTAGACACTCACAAAAAGATATATAATGTCAAATTTCTAAGATCTAGCTCTTTTTTTTTTTTTGAAAGAAGACTTTTTTTTTGTTTTTAATTTATACATATAAGGAAAATCACTAACACCATGAGGTGAGGCCAATTTTGACTCCAGTGCTGTTATCTGAAGAAACTTGGTAGACACCCATTAGAAGATGTTTCATGCTTAATATGTAAGCTCTATCTCTTTGGGATTTTTAAAAGATATTTTAAGTTTTTTCTTTCTGCTGCCATGGCAATCAGAGTTCTGCATGGAATTAAATTCTTTGGATGAACAGCAAAGGAACATTTCTATGAAGTTTGGATGAAATTGTTTTAGCTCTTTATGAGGAGATGTTGTTAAAAGTAAGAGTTAATGGAAAGACAGATGAATTGTGATCACAAAAACTAGTAATTCAGTGCTAAAAATAATATATAACTCTTGCTCCTACTTTCACATTGCAAGAAAAATAAAATGTTACTTGAATATTGCCATTTGCCAGATACAGAAGGTGGAGAGCATGCTCAACATTGAAACCATTCCCACAAACAGCAGCACTGCTTGCCAGCTCTTGATAAGATTGCACTGAAATAATAACTTTTATGATGCACTATATTGTTTATAATTTCTAAGTTAAATTGGAAATCAATCTGGTTTCTTGAAACTTAAGCTATGCTACTTACAAAATGTGCATTATTAGTATTAATGTAACAATACTCTCTTGTTACTAAATAAAGGTGCCTCTTAACCCTTTCCCCCATGAGCATATTGTGAAAAATGGCCGTTTTCACTGAAAAGCCTCCTGTTACAAGTTCAAACTGCTATGAAACTATGAAAAATGCTTCAATACTAATCAAACTTGGCACAAATGTTGACTGGACCATTGCCTTTGTAACGACATGCTCAGTCTTAAATTTCCTGTTACCATGGCAACGAGGGGACATCTCAAAATTGCCAAAAATCACTATTTTGCCTCGATTTTTTCCATCAAAATTTATTTCAAAGTGCTGCAACTTCTCAATGGATTGAGATAGAGTCAAAGGCTTTTCAGCATTGGTTACACGTTACATTATGATCGACCTGGGGTCATTTTTAGCCTCTCACAAGTCCAAAATTTTCTTGGCGATGAGGGGGACTCCGCCCCCCTTCAAACCCCCCTTACAGAAGGGGGCACATCCCCCTTCTGGCAACCCCCTGATGTATCTTTTGGATGGGGGGCGGCGCCGAAAAAGTGCTCATTTTTTTAAGCAACATTTCTCAAACGAAAACATTTGTTTGGGGCCTAAATAGGACATTTTTTCACTATTTGAGGCCTAAAAAGGGGGGGGGGGGTCGAAAGTGCGTTGTTTCGCGTATATATGTGGTAAAGGGTTAAATGCTTATTTTTAGTAATATTACTCTTTATTATATACTTATATATGAAATATTGATGAAATAAAATGCGAATTTACGTATTTTCACTGTAAAAAAATTTATTTTTCACAGCAATGAAATATATTTTCCGTACTTGCCGGACTACTAAAATAAAAGAGAAAGTTTTTCAAACTGTTTTGTCAAAAATGAGAAAAATGTATATAATAAACAGAAAATTCAAATTTTTTCTACAAATACAGGATATATTTTCATCTTGTGGTATGAAAATTATTATATTTCACTAGTGGCTAACGCCACCCATAAAACATTTATTTTCACATCACTCGATGAAAACTAGAAATTTGTGTCCATAGGACAAGGATGCCCCCACACGCCACTGTTCTGTCAATCTTATGACTCTAGGTCAAATATTTTTTGGACTACATGTGCCACAAGTTGAAAACTAAAAATCAACAAAGGGCCATAATTCTGTTAAATTACTTCTTTTATTTACCATCTACACATTAAGGTTGTTAATCCCTGGAAGTTTAAGCAAAATCTGCCATCCGGTTTAAGAGGAGTTGCGTTCACAAAATTTCTACATAGTATATAATGAAAAAATCAACAAAGGGCCATAATTCTGTTAAATTTAGTTGCAGCAAAAATTCCTTCCTTTACTGCCATCTACACATAAAGGTTGTTCATCCCTGGAAGTTTAAGGAAAATCTGCCATCCGGTTTAAGAGGAGTTGCATTCACAAAATTTCTACATAGTATATAGTGAAAAATCAACAAAGGGCCATAATTCTGTTAAATTTGGTCGCAGCGAAAATTCCTTCCTTTACTACCATCTACACCTTAAGGTTGTTCATCCCTGTAAGTTAAAGCAAAATCTGCCATCCGGTTTAAGAGGAGTTGCGTTCACAAAATTTCTACATAGTATATAGTGAAAAAATCAACAAAGGGCCATAATTCTGTTAAATTTGGTCGCAGCAAAAATTCCTTCCTTTACTGCCATCTACACATTAAGGTTGTTCATCCCTGTAAGTTTAAGCAAAATCTGCCATCCGGTTTAAGAGGAGTTGCATTCACAAAATTTCTACATAGTATCTGGTGAAAAAATCAACAAAGGGCCATAATTCTGTTAAATTTGGTCGCAGCGAAAATTCCTTCCTTTACTACCATCTACACATTAAGGTTGTTCATCCCTGTAAGTTAAAGCAAAATCTGCCATCCGGTTTAAAAGGAGTTGCGTTAACAAGATTTCGGGACATACGGACAGACGGACAAAAGGACTGACGGACGACAAGTGCAACGCTATATGCTCCCACATTGTGGGGGCATAATAAATCCTGTATTTATAGGAAAAACTTTATCCTTTATAAACTCTCATCAAAATAACAGTCTACTTGTTATTACTAGCATTTCTTTTCTAGAGCACACTTCATGGAATGTATGACATATATAATGAGATCATCAGGACTTCAAATGATTCCTCATTATCACTGTCTCTCATTATAACCGCGACAATTTCAGAACTTCAAGACCCTAGAGCTTTTTTTTTTTCCTACTTTCAGTTTCCGCAACATTTTTTGTAAGTGTAAAATCATAAAGACTGGTAATTCTTGTAACTTAGTGGTAATAATATGGCACATAAAGCTTCAAACTGATATCTTTTTATATAATGGATACAGTACAATTTTTCTTCAAGTGTTTTCTTACAAGTGTAAGAAGACAGTTTGCTAGGACAAACAACAATTGTCCGAGTCGAAGCCAATGGATAAATTGTTGTTTGTCCAAGCAAACTGTTTTCTTTATGACTGTAAGAAGACACTTTTGAAGAAAATAGGAGTACCTGTATCTGACTTATACAACGATTAAATGTAAAGAACAGAATAAATTAATATATGCAGTTAATAATAAATAAATCTAACGGAAAATAATGTAGTATGATCTTGTTGAAAATATAAAACTTTAGAAAATATTAACATAGCCTATAAAATTTTGGTAGTTCAAGGTGGGTGCAAATTGTATTTGCACAGAATTTTTGTACACTTAATTCCGTCCGACAGAATTCTTTTTCATTATTAACAATGTTAAAATGGCTGCCTTCAAAAGAAAGTCATATTTACTAAAATCGATTATGTCTATCAACATGGAAACAAGCACTAGACATGTATTACTTCAATGTTATATGGATAACAGATAATGGACCTCAACTTTGTTAAGATTCCTTATTCACATTTTAATGCAGTGGCCGTTGATTTTTTTTTTTTTTGTAGGGGACATGTTGTTGTTTTCTAATAGAATGTCAGACGTTATACAAGAAATGATAGAGTTTCAGAACAACTGTCAGTGTCGTGGAAAAAAATTCAATGGTGAAATCCAAAATTACATAAAATAAACATCCAATTCATTCTATTTTTTTTTATTTTTATTTTTTTTTTATAACTAAATTTACTCCTGAGTTGCGATATCAAGTTCGCTACTGACTTTCTGTCTGTTTCTATGGTGTCCTGTTTGATCATTTAAAATATCACCTGTTATGATTAAAGATTGACTAAATATCTTGTTTTAGCTCGACTATTTGAAGAAAAGAGAGATCTTAGTAATTGTATTCACCCATGTGTCGGCTTTGGTGTCACATTTTAGTTACGTATTTGCGTGTTAGTTGGTAACTCCAAAGTCCAAAACTACTGAAAGGAATGGGTTGAAACTGAACAAACTTATTTGAGAGCATAATAGGAGGTTCATTACTCTATTTATAATAGAGATTTTGACATAACTATTGGCCGTTTTGAACTTATAATTTTACATTATCCAGGCACTTGTTTTACTATCAATTGTTTACTATCACTGCTTGTTAATAGATACATGGCGAGATAAACATTCCCTTTCAAGGAAATTTTACCGTAGTCATTTGTACTTTAAATAAGCTACAGCCAAAAGATTGTTTTGCCCAAGTATAAAGATAATCCATTTATTAATTACCAAATTACAGTCAATTCTGGCAAAAATCTGTGAAAATTTAATAATTTAACCTTCAAAGTCAAGGTCATTAATGAGCCAAGGTTAATTTGAGTTTGATATTCAAGAAGGTCTTATCCATTCATTAATAACAAAGTTATAGCCAGTTACAAGCAAAAAAAGAAAATTTCAATAATTTGACCTTCAAGTTCAAGTGATTTATGATTGAAGGTCAAAGACTGTCTGGCTTACTTAAAGGTCTATCCTAAAAGATTGTTCTGTTCAAGTTTGAAGACAATCCGTTAAAAAACAAGCAAATTCGTTGAATTTATATCCACCGCGGAGTACTGGTTATTACTAACACAACAACTGAATACACAAGGCTTTATTTATATATTTATCATGGCATAAACAGTAACATTCTTTGTACATAATAAATATTCAAGGCAATAATAGAGCCTTGACTCGGGTGTTAAATAGTAATATCTGGACATGGCAATGAGATGTAAATTGCCTTTTTGTATCTATGGTTCCCATAAAGTTTTGTTGAAATCAATACAGCAGTTGCAAATAAATAGAAATATTGCTCTATATGCATACTACATAACTAAGCAAGAGCCATAACTCTGTAATGAAGGATCATTCTGGTCTTAACAAGGCAACATATTATGCACATCTCATCTTGGTATTAATGGTTTCCATAAAGTTAAATTGAATTCCAGCCAGTAGTTGCAGAGAAGTAGCATGGAAACAATTATTGCTTTAATGTATACTGCATAACTAATCAAGGGCCATAACTCTTAGTTAGAGTCTGACCCTGATGATATGCTCATCTCCTCTTGGTATTGAAGGTTCCATAAAGTTTGCCCTACATGCATACAGCATAACTAATCAAGGGCCATAACTTTGAGTTAAAGTGTCTGACCAGAACAAGGCTAAGATACGCGCATCTCCTCTTGGTATTGAAGGTACCCATAAAGTTTCGTTGAATTCCAGCCAGTAGTTGCTGAGAAGTAGCACGGAAACGATTATTGCGCTATATGCATACTGCATAACTAATCAATGACCATTACTCTTGAACGGAACAAGGCAACGATATGCGCATCTCCTCTTGTTATTTTAAGTTCCCATAAAATTTTGTTGAATTCCAGCCAGTAGTTGCAGAGAAGTAGCACAGAAATGATAATTGCTCTATATGCATAATACATAACTAATCAAGGACCATAACTCTGAGTTAAAGTGTCTGATGGGAACAAGGCAACGATA